GGGCAGAGAAACAGGGGCTCAAAGAACCCAGAGAATCAGGGGGCAGAGAAACAGGGGACCAGAGACATAGAGAATCAGGGAGTCCAGGGGCCTCAGAAACAGGGGGCCAGAAGAGAATCAGGGGCCCAGGCACCCAGAGGTCCAGAGAATCAGGGGGCCAGAGGATCAGAGAATCAGGGGCCAGAGACTCAGAAACTCATGGGACCAGGGGCCCTTAGAATCAGGGGCTCAGGGGCCAGAGGCCTAGAGAATAAGGGGGTCCAGGGGCCAGAGACCCAGAGACTCATGGGACCAGGAGCCCACAGGTTCGGAGGGTCAGGGGCCTAAAGAACCCAGAAGCCTAGAGAATAAGGGTCAAGGGGCCCAGAGACCCCAGATACTCTAGAGAACCAGATGCTCATGAGACCAGGGACCCTGAGAACCAGGGGCCCAGAGAATCAAGGGGGTAGAGGCCTAGAGAATAAAGGGCTCAGGGAGCCATAGGCTCAGTGGCCCAAAGGTTCAGAGAGACCCTGAGACTCCAGAGAATCAGGGGGCCCAGAGACCCAGAGACTCATGGGACCAGGGACCCTGAGAATCAGGGGCTCAGGGGACCAGGGACCCTGAGAATCAGGGGGCCAGAAGCCCAGGTTTTTCTCACCTTTACCAACTCTACCCCCCCCCCTGCCACCCGTGGAGCCTGAACCAAAACCAGAGCATGCTGAACAGGCTGAGCTGACTAATGAAATGTTCTCTGGTGGAAACCGCCTCATCAGCTGCCGGCTCATGGCTGTTCAGCACAAACAGGCTCAGGCTGTTCTGCAGCTGATGACCAGCTAATGACCGGCTAATGACCGGCTAATGACCGGCTAATGACCAACTAGTTGTTACCTGATGACCAGCTAATGACCGGCCGATTACCAGCCGGTGACCAGCCGTTGACCAGTCAATAACCAGCCGATTACCAGCTGATGACAAGCTGATGACTGGCTGATCACCAGCTAATGACCAGCTAATGACTGGCTGATCACCAGCTAATGACCAGCTAATGACTGGCTGATCACCAGCTAATGACCGGCTGATGACCAGCCGATGACCAGCCAATAACCGGCTAATGACCAGCCAATAACCAGCTAATGACAAGCCGGTGACCAGCCGATGACCAGCTAATGATCGGCTAGTCAATGACCAGCCGGTGACCGGCCAATAACCAGCCCATAACCAGCTAATGACCGGTTAATTACCGGGTAATGACCAGCCAATAACCGGCTAAAGACCAACCGATGGCCAGCTGATGACCAGCCGATGACCAGCTAGTGACCAACTAATGACTGGCTAATGACCAGCCGATGACCAGCTAGTGACCAACTAATGACTGGCTAATG